TCCTGTCATCTGTCAATACCCTTTCTGTATATAGTCAGTCCCTGTGGCTACCAGCCTTTTTTCAACTAATTTTAGAGAAGATACCACCTCATGTGGGCTCTCATTGCGTTACTTAGTTACAGCCATTTTCTCAAGTCCTGATATTAATTCTTTCAGACCCTGCTGCTTGGATAATTCCCATAGCTACCCTCATGTTTTCATTGAGCACATTGAGCAGCTCAGGGCATTTTTACTTCCGGGTAAAAAAGGTTTTCAGTTATAAGGAGCCAGAGTCGCAGCGTCTGCTGACTGCCCTTGCTCGGCCACTTACCTCTGCAATCAGATCATGCAGCTCCCCTTCGTTCGGGCAGCATCCCAGGGACCTGATGATGGTGCCGATCTCTCTGGGGGGAAAGTGGTCAAGAGTCTTAGAACATCCACTCTGAACCTCCTCTTACGGACGAGGACACAGCTAAGTAACTTGCTCAGAGTCCCCTACAGCCAACATATTCAAGCAGCAACCTCCACGGGACGAGGGGAATCTGGGAGCTGGGGAGAGTCTGAGAGGAGGGACAAGTAGAATGGGATGAGAACAGAAACAAAGTCCTTGGCAGGTGAGAAAAGCAGGTTAATTAGCTTTCTGGCTTAGGAGCAGACATCTCCCCTAGACTTCTAGAAAGAACAGTCTTCACATCTCACTCATATCCCTTATACCATGATCATGATCTGTCTGGAGGTGAGAAAAAACACCTCCAGGCTGTCGGGTTAGTATTAATAGAATACAGTGATAGCAAGTTTTTATAAGTCTTCCAGGCTCTGTTTTAAAGTGCTTTAACTATTCATATCCACTTAATCCTCACATTAGCTCTGTGTGGTAGGTACTATTATTTTACAGATGAGGAAAAGTTAGGTAATTACCCCAAGATGTTTGTAAAAAGAGGAAAGGATTCAAACACAGGCAAGTGGAATCCGTATTTTTAACCACTGCACACTGCTGACTTGCATAAATCTCAGCTGAGAATTTAATTAGACTTAAAGGAGAACTTCTTGACTGTAACAGGTGCTTCTAAAGAGAGATCTGGAAATTCCACCCGATGGGAGCCTGGAAGAGAGATCCAGGGTCACAAAGTGATGGTCCAGGGACAGACCTGCCCTCAGAGAAGGTTTTATTTGCATAGTGTTGGTGTGTTTATATAGTGCATACATACATGTCATGAGAACTGTCGTATACCTTCTCATTCACACACTTATGTTACAGACCTGGTCCTTGTTTATCACCCTTAGAAAATATCAATTTTGTTCTGTCAGAGAATTTATCTGCAAGAAGCAGAGGAATGAGCAAATGACTCTTAAAGTCCTCCCCAATGCTCTGATTCTAAGATTATCTTTAAAAATACACACAAAATCTGTAGCTTATGTAAGAAAATGCTCTTGTTCTCAGAAAATATACACTGGCCCAGCTGATATGTTTCAGTCGTTGAAGCATCAACCTATGAACCCAGAGGTCATTGGTTCAATTCCCCGTCAGGGCACATGCCCAGGTTGCAGGCTCAATCCCCGGTAGGGGGCATGCTGGAGGAAATCAATGATGTTTCTATCTCTCTATCCCTCCCCCTTCCTCTCCCTCTAAAAGCAATAAAAACATTTTTTAAAAGAAAATATATACTGGAGTATTTCTGGAAAAAGGTCACAATGCCTGCAACTTAAATAGTCCACAAAATTAAAATAATCATTAAATAATAAAATGCATAAATGTGTACATACAGGGTGTTCCAAAAAATGTGCACACACTTTAACAGCTGATAGCTCAATTTTGAAAATAAAATGTATTTTTAAAAACACTGCCTTTATAATTATTCAACATGTGTGTAGACATTTTTTAGGACACCCTGTATATGGAGAGAGACAGAGTGAGTCCATGAAAGCAAGAGCTCATTTGGCAAAATGTTGAGAACTGGGGAATCTAGGTGAAAGTGCAGAGCAGTTCGGTGCACCATTCCTTCTATTTGTCTAGCAGTTTGAAATTTTTTTATGAAAAAGTGTTTATTTTAAAAATACACATAAGCACATTTCAGTCTCAGCAATCAAAACCAAAGTAATAAGGAATAATAACAGAAATCCTGCCTTTTATAAACTACTTATAAAACAACTGGCTTTTTTGTGTTATGCTATTTTTATCACTTTGGCTTGAAATGTTGATTATCAAGGATGTCTTAACCTTCAGTTTCACAGTGAAATACATGAGTTACAACCTGTTTACACAGCACTGTAGAACTGAAATTGAAAACATGGCAACACTGAGTAGATCTAAAATATCGTGCAGTATGAGCTGGGATGAGGCTGCTATGGGTCTACTGTTCCTTGCAGCAAATTCTTTCTTAAGAAGTATGTGGAGAGATGGCGGAACAATGAGGAAGGCAGCGCTGTGAACTGCTCCTGCTGCCACAGGATGAGAGCCGGGCTGCATGGTTGACGTGTACTGAGCACTGGGCTCAGGCTCTCAAAAGATGAGCAGTTCCCAGCAAAACCATCAGAGTGACCTTTGGCCCAAGAAGGCCGGCTGATGGCACTGCCCAGTAAAGGCCAGGTAGAGGGTGACTAAGAACATAAACCTAGGGCAGAGGTAGAGGAAGGGCGGCGATGTTTAAATACTAACAGGCCATTCTTCTCAAATGTGTTCCTTCCTCAAAAGGCAATGGAATGAGGTGCATTTCTTCAGGAGGCCTCCCTAGGTCCTGCACAGAGTCCCTGGGAGGACAGGAAAGGGAAGTTAAAGCAGGAACACAGATGACTCAGAGCTCTCCTGCTCTCTGTCCTGAAACACGCCCAGAGGACAGAATAGAGTGATCCTGTGAGCTCCTTTCACTCTGGAATTTTGTGTCAAGACCTGGGAATGCAGCAGAGGGGTCGGTGGGCCCTGAAGAACTCCAGATGGCCTCTGGAAGGAGCTGGGAACCTGCCATTCTGGGAGAACCATACAGCCAACTTAGGCGAGTAAGGCTCCCAAAGGTCAGCTAAGGAAAAAGAAGCAGGGCAAGAAAAAACAGAGGCCAGAAAAAGACCAGGCCATTAATTCTAGGTATGAACTACAAACTAACTCCAAAAGCCTTTATGGTTAAATATTAAGAATTTGTTTCTGTACTTGGAGTATACAGACAGTACTAAACATGGAGACAAAGTCACTTCACAACAAATGAGTCACAATAAGGTTGCCCAAGAGTGACATCACCATTTGATTTATGTAGAGCATTTGGGCCATTTAAAATGTTTGAGGGGGGTGGGAGGGGCAGGTTGATTCTTGGCAAGCCAGCCTTCAGTGGGTGTGATATCACGTTTCTGACACAAGGTGGAGCCAGTGCCATTGAGCTAGGTTGGGAGACTTCAGTTTAAGGGCAATCTAAGGTCAAAACATCAGAAAGTGAAGACCTGATTCAAGACAACTGATGCAATGCTAAGGGAGAAAAGAACAGGCAAAATATTTTACCCTCTATGGAATAACTGACATTGGGCTAAGTATAAGAGACTATTAAAAGCAATTCAAAAATTCCTAAGAAGGAACAAAAGATGTGAAATTATTCTTATTCACTTAATAAATATTTATTGCACACCACTATGTGCCTAGAACCACTTTATAGTAGAGCAGACAACACAGAGAAAGCCTTGCCCTCAAGGAAGGCATTTTTCACAAATTAATCCTATTTTGACAAAGCCATGGAATGAAGTTGAAATAATGGCTAAATCTCCTTATTTGCAGAACTGCTAAAAAAAAAAAAAAAAAAAAAAAAGCCTCTTTTTCCAAATATCCCTCTAATGAAGTGACAGTCATTTTTCTGCTACTGAAATATGCTTTCAGAAAACCCTCTGGTTATAACTTGTCACATGATTATTTCTTACCCTGTCCTATGTGCTAGAGTTTGTAGCCCCCAAATGAAGAACCCTGACCTCCTATGGCTCAGGCACTGCCTTAGGCACTGAGGTTACTGTCAAGCATTAGACAAGGTCCCTGCTCTAACCATGGAATGCACAATCCAGTGGGAGAAAGCACATACACTCAAGTAAGTACATACATGAGCTAACTTAATGAGAAAGCACCACCACCATCATCATGATCATAACTATTAGTTTGCTAGGGCTGCCATAATAAAACACCAGACTGGGCAGCTTAAACAACAGAATGTATTTCCTCCCAGTCTGGAGGCTGAACTCCAGGATCATGGTGTTGGCGGGTTGGCTTTTCTGAGACCTCTCTCCTTGGCTTGCAGACGGCCATCTTCTCATAGTGTCCTCACTTGGTCTTTCCTCCCTGCCCCCCTCGTGTCTCTGCCAAATTCCCTCTTTTTAAATATATATATATTTTAAATAGGTTTCAGAGAGGAAGGGAGAGGGAGAGAGAGATAGAAACATCAATGATGAGAGAGAATCATTGACCGGCTGCCTCCTACACACCCCACACTGGGGATCGAGCCTGCAACCTGGGTGTGTGCCCTGACCTGGAATTGAACCATGAACTCCTGGTTCATAGGCCAACTCAACCACTGAGCCACGCCGGCTGGGCCAAATTTCCTCTTTTTATAAGGACAGCAGTCAGATTCGATTAGAGCTCATTTTGACTTAAGCACATCTTTAAAGACCTTATCTCCAAATAAGGTTATATTCTGAGGTACTGGGCATTAGAGACATGACTTTCAGGGGTCAAAACTCAGCCCATAACAATAATAATAGTTATTATACTCCTGCCACCACCACTCTCTTTGGACCACCATTCTCTCTTGCCAGGACCAGCGCAATAGCCTCCATATAGTCAATCTGTTTCTCTTACCAACCACCTCGATCCATTTCCTCACAGCAACCAGAATAATCATTTCAAAATAAAGATCTCATCATGTAATTCCACTGCGTAAAACCCTCCAACGGCTTCCCACTGCACTGATACCCTAACCTCCTGGGCATGGCCTATTCGGCGACATCATGCTGCCTCTGCCAAGTTCTGCCCGATCGCACACCACTCTCACTACATCACAGGACTCCGTGCTCTGGTTTTCTCTAACACACTAACCCCCTCCCCTTCACGGGACCTTTGTATTGGCTGTCCCAGTCCTTTATATGGCTGACTCCTTCTAACTTAAAGATCTCAACTCAACAATGAGCTCCAGAGACACTTTCCCTGACCACAATGTCTACACTGTCTCATCCCACCTAACACCCCTAGTTCTCTAATACATCACTGTTTTATTTTCTTATAGCACATTTTATTACATCATCCTGGTGTTTTACTTTACAGCACTATTACTACCTGAAATTGCATTTATTTATCTATTTACTTTTATACTGTCTCTTTCCTCTAAAGTGTAAACTCCATGAGGACAGAGGCCTTTCCCTGCTATATTCCAACACCCAGAAGGAG